CTTTGCTCAGCCCTCCAAGCATTTCACAGAACAAACACACAAGGGGAAAACCAGGAGCTACATGTAAATTAACAGTATTCATCCCAGTTACCATGCTAGCACTGACAAAGTGCTAATCTGGGTACACAGTAGCACACAGCAGTAACACAACTGCATTGGGCAGAAGGGAGCACTTCATCCCACCAAGTTAAGAGCATGATTTAAGCATGGAGTTAACTTAAAGTTCCCTTTTGCCTTCCACAAAGGGCACCGGCTCTAACTGCATCCAGAGGACATCAGCATTTCTGAGACAGTATTAGGAAAGCAGAAAGGAAGCAGCGCTTCAGAAAAAGGATAAAATTCACATCACAGTTAAGCAGCACCGATGGGAAGGGATGGGAAGGGAGTTGAGTACAAATGAAGTCCAGGGAATATTGTCCAGTTTTGCAGGACTGTTCCATCAAAATCAGAATCTGGATGAACACACCCCACCAGCACAGTTGGGTGAGCACTTTCAGCAACACATGAAGCATCATATTGCTACAAGAAGATAAGCAAATGGAAGATTGCACATCTTTAAATCACTTACAGGTTGCACTGGCTTGTATGTGGGCTATTGGAAAGGCAGTCTGTCACCTTCAACACTAGGTCAGTGTTACAGCGAAAGGCACAGCTTCCGGGTAAAGCACCTGCAATGAAACATATTCCATTTTTTAGGCATGACAACAGCAAGAGCCATGGTATCTGTCACCCAGTACAACCCCTAAGGGTGACTGTATTCTTGCTACAAAGCTACACAAGTAGACTGAAACATCAGAAAAACTACCCAGCTCTTGAAAGATTCCCAGCAAATCTGTAACCAACTTTGGAGCTGCTCTTCCCAGCACTGCACCTCAGTGAAGCAACGCAGCAGCAAACACCCAGAAAGGCTCACTGCACTGAAACGCATCACACCCGCAGAGGGAAAGGGATGCTTTCTGCAGCCTGGCAAAGGAGAAGAGGGTGTGCGCTGCACAGCAGAGGTACGAAGAAGCATGCAAAAATAGAGGGGCTATTTTAACAGCAACAGCAGTGAAAAGGGAATTAAGATATCTGCGCTAACATAACTGTCCTCTTCTCCTTGTCATCGCCCATGAATCAAGCGCTTGTTTGCCTCACAGCTTTACCACAACTTTCTCCCCCGACCTTCATCAGGTTATTTCTATCCTGTCTATAAATAGCATAACATGGCAATCCTGCTGCATCTGCAGGGTGAAGGTTTTAACCAGGGCTGATTTCACACTATGAACACGCCCAAGGTTCACACAACACAAGGTAGATCTTGAGCTACACTTACTAAAGCAGCATCAGGACACAGATCACACCGAGGGGCCACTCCAGGAAAGGACAGGAGGGGCGAAACTGCTAAGTTTCACATATACAAGTTCTCTCATTCACCAAGCAGCATTACTGGGACAAAGAATAACCTTGGACTAGTTTGTTTTACAGCAGACTTTACCATGACCATAGACAGCTACAAAACTCCCTTTCTCTTTACCACTCTGCTTCAAAAGAAGCCACGAAGCCTGTGCCCTATTGCTCATGCTCACACTAACTGCTAGGAGCTCCAGCAACCCTGCAGAGAAAGGGCTCAGAGTGCTAAAGAGGTTGATCTGCGCAACAAAGGCAAAGGCCGGACTCGCCCAGCATGGCGAGGGTTGGGATGCGATGTCCCTCGTCCTGAACACGTGGCTGTTAGCTACAGTCACAAATAAGGACTCTGTCCTCCGATCTACAGCCCGTTCTACCTGTGACTCTTGCTGGCATCTAAAAGCCTGATTCCGAGCACAGCAAAAGCCGCTACACACCGGGGGGGCCCGTAGCTCTGTACAGACCCCCGGATGCCGCACACACACGTTCGACGCGGTGGGAAGCCGTTCAGCCCTGCTCGGGGCACCGCAGCCGCCTCGGGGATGCGCAGGCTCCAGCGGGTACGAGCACACCGGAGCACGGCCTGGCCGTGCGCTCAGCGCCGGGTTACGGGCACGTTTGCAGCCCTTACTGCAGGGATTACACACTGGAGAGCTTCCGCCTCCCCCTGCACTTAACGGAGCTCCCAAAGCGAGTGTTTAACAGCACCAACACCCCCAGGCAAAGGCTCCGGCGGCTGCCCCAGCTCTCAGCCGTGAGGGTGCAGGGACCCCAGGGCTTGGAGCGCTCGGCTCCGCTCCCAGCCGCGTTCTTCCCGCCTCACCCTCCGCTTTTCCTGCTCTAAGGACACAACCATAAGGAGCTGCCGCCATCTAGTGGGTCCCAAACCCGCCCTCCCCTTCGCCTCACCTCGGCTGGGTTCCTCCGCAGCCACCCCTGGGTGCCCTTCCATGGCAGCACGGGGCTGCTTCCCTCCAGCCTCCTGTGAAAGCTCCATCCCTTCCCCACGGGAACACCAGACGAAAGCAGGGACTCTCCCCTCAGGACCCTTCGACCCCTCAGACAGGAAGAGCACTGCCCCCACGACCGCCCTTAAATCCCAACGGGAGCAACGCGGGGCGCACGCCTGCCCTTAAACATGGGACACAGCTGGGCTGGCCTCTCATTGCCTGCAGCTGGGGTGGGGTTAACTGCGGGCTCACCAAAGGATGCTTTTGGTGTGCGCTGGTTGCGGCTCCTCTGCCCCGTTCCCCGGCCAGGGCAGCGGAGTGCAGGCTGTAGCACCCCTGGTTCTTTGAGAGCCTTGCCCTTCCGTGGAGCTGGGGAGGTGAAGGGTTGGTGTGGCCTGGGACGAGCTGTGATGGTAAAAGTAAGGAGAGAACAGAGAAGACATTTTCTGCAAGGGCTAAGGAGGGGCAGTGGGCTTTCCTCATTCCTGATTCTGCGTTCCCAGGTTGAGAAGAAAGAGCAAGAGGAAAAGCTCTGTCTTAGTTAAGTGCCATGGGAGGCTGTTGTACTGCTTCTAAAACGCAGGACAACACAGAATGCCTGAGTCTTGTCTTTGGTACCCCACAAGGACCCTAAACTCCAGGGTGGTATGGGGCACACCAGCATAGCTGGTTCTCCTGGGTAAAAGGGAGAGGCAAAAAGTAAAAGAAGGAGCCAGGTCTGTATGTGGAAATGTAAAGGCAAGGCAGGTGCCATGGCTAAAATGAATGCAATTAGAGATTTTGAAGCCACCTGCATGTACCCAGATGGTGCTGGGAAAGGCAAAGATAAATGGGCAAGAATTATGAGAGCCAAAGTATGCTACTTCTGCTACAAAAGCATTTGTGGGTTATTTCAGACAACAGCCTCTGCAGTTTTTACATTTGCAAGGGCTCTTCTGTGTGCCTCTGCCTGAGATCTGCACAGCACGGGCTCATTCAAAATGCTTTTGAGCTTACAGTCTTACCCTGAGGACAAGGAAGGGATTTGTTCCAGATACAGAGAATTAGCTGCAAGTCACCAAACGCAGTAGCTAATATTACTAGAAATCAAAGTATTTGTAACAGGGTTGATGTTGGCAATTTTAGGTGTCTTCTGCAGAGAGACATAAAAGGATGTAAGCTAAAGTCTCCTCTGCAGGTAGTGAAACATTGCAAGAAACCTTCCATTACATTGTGCTTAACGTCTGCAATGCAAAGCCTTGAGCATGCCAGACATCACCTGGTCCAGAGGGCCCAGTCAGGCTATCACATCTCTTACTGGGGCTCAGGTGGGCCACATTCAGGGGATTATCTAAGGGGAGAAGACCTGCAAATTGTGAGGCTGCTCTACCATGGCCTGATATTGGTTCACATGTGTCTTTCCTGGGACACTGATACCGGCTGGCAGTGGTGCAATACTGCAGGGCAAGGTTGTTCTTTTGCCTTGGTGTCACCTCTGTGATGGAGCTTCAAAAGCAGTGCCACCAGGTCTGGTGTCTCAGGAGTGGCCCTGGTGTGAAGCTAGCTTCAGGTGTGTGTTTGTGGTGCTCTGATGACACAAAGGGACACCTTGATGTGGAAGGGCTGATGTTGCTGCAGGTGGTTATGCTGCTGCATTTGCGTGTATTATATCCTGGGACTGAGGTTTGTTTTGTGGTATAAAACTCAAAAGCCATCAGTCTTTTGCCTAGGGTGGCATCTCACCTCACACACCCTGCTGAAGGTGACTGATAACAGAAACTACCTGTGTGTTATTAGCCAGGAAACAGTTCTGTGATGACAGCTAGACTAAGAACAGCACTGGGAGACAGATACACAATTCCTGAGTACTGCAAAAAGGAAAAGCAGCCTAAGCCTGCTGTTACTCAGTGTACACAACAGCAATTGCATGCTTTTCCCTACTTCAGGGTGCCCTGTGAGCCTCAGAGGAGCTGTAACCACATTGCACACACCTTTGCTCCTGCTGGTCTCAGAGCCTTGTAGCATAATGCCTGCTGGTCCATATGAATCCCCAGTGAGGAGGAGGATGCTCAAATCACCATCTTGCCCAGGGATTCAGCTTCTGGAGGCTGATTCCACCTCACACATTCAAAGTGCCCTTAGAATTCCTTCTCCTCACAGTTCTCTGAGCTCTGCCCGATGTGCCCTGCTGTGGTTTTGGTAGGCAATTTGAATGGTCAAAAAGGTCGATCACACTGCTATAATTAAGATGATGCCAGACTAGATTAAATGACTTGACTCATTTGCATGCCGATTGCAATCATCATCTTTGCTATAAAAGCCTCTGAAGCTAATGGAGAATCTCTGCTACTGCTGGGCTGACCTGAAGGGGTGGGAAAGTCTGATCCTGTTGTGGAAGGGTTGATGGCAGTTTATGCCATGTACCATCTCACCAACAGCAGGCAACAGCAGGAGGAAAGAACGCACCAAGGCTCAGGCAGTACTTCAAGGCTGCAGCAAGCCAAGAGAGATTGAAGCCTTTCTCTGCATCCCAAAGGAAACACAGGGATGCACGTCCATGGGAACCCAAAGTGCAAAGTTAAGAGCAAAGCAGCAGCACTGCAGGCGAGAGAGGGATGAAATGTTCTTCTGACCTTTTGCTTTTGAAGTCAAATCCCAGACTGGTTTGGTTTGGAAGGGACCTTAAAGCTCATCCAATTCCAATCCCCTGCCACTAGGACAGGTTGCCCCAGGCCCCTGGGCCTGAACATAACTATCCAAAGCAATTCCTGCTGCAGCACCAGGCTGGAAGGGTGACAGAGGGAAAACAATTCATTTGAGTCACCTGAACTGATTTTCAGGCAGGTCAGGCTTAACAGGGCTAGAGAAGAAGTGATTTGTAATGTTTGGAGAAATGAAATGGTAATACATCAGATGCTGTTTCATCCTGTAAGATACTTATTGCTGCTTTTTAAATGAATGTCTAGGTACCAATATTTGGGGGAGATGCTGGACACAGCATGTATGGAGGTTTTGCAATTTCTGGCTCCAATTTACTCCAGCAAGAAAGTAAAAGGAGTATTTGTTGGCAAAAATAAAACCACCTCCTTGATGTGTTGATCGCTTTCTATTGCAGTTGTTTTCTTCAATAGGAGCTGAAAGGCTTTTGAAGCTTGCAAGAGTATGTAACTCTGACCTTATTTTGGAATCAAATCTGTGTTTATGGCTCCTGGCACGGAAAGAATAGCCTTGATTTTCTCTGTAGTAATACACTGGTGTTTAATTTGAGCCTTGGGTTTCATGGGGTCTATCTGAGCATCATGTCTCTGGGGTAGCTATGTCACTGCTCCCAGACCTGTGAACACCCAGAGCACATACACAGGGTGTCACTGAGATCTGATACAGCTGCATGAAGAAATCTGCTCTCCTGCAGGCCTTGCTCCTCTGCTGAGAGTTGAGTTATTGGGGGATGCTGTGACATTTCAATGAAGGTAGGATTGGAAGAGCTGTACTGATACTGGGGATTTTGAGAGCTCTCCTTGTTCGGTCACACCAGTAAAGCTGTACTGAGACTGCACAAATGTCTGTTCACACAACACAAATGAGGGACTCATCTAAACCCAATTAAAATAAATACTTTGTATTTTGTTTTGTTTTGCTTTCAGGTAAAATACCCTGTCAGGATCCCACCACTGTTACTCACTGCTAGAGGAAGGATTTGTTCACGTCTGTGGGTTAGTCCAGAGAAAAAGATGCTCTGAGCAGCAGAGACCCTCCTTTAGCTCAGTGCGCATGGCATAAAGCCCCATGTTGAAGCCCCATGGTTAGGGTTTATTATTATTACCATGGGATTTTGTTTTACTGCACCTATTAAAAACTGAGACCACAGCTCTCAGTAGGATCACCAGAGCATTTTTACCCAGGCATGAAATCCATGGCTGAGAATTCTGTGGCATTTGGACAACAGGTAGATGCAGTGGGGGACTTCCATGGCCTCCTGTCTCCTAAGCCCTGAATCCAAACTATGGTGGCTTATGAATGAAAACAGGTTTGTGTCTGTGCTTTGTGTTACAGCCCAGGACCTCTGGGTTTGGTGTCTCACAGGCATCAGCCCCGTTCAGTGCTCCTGGGCAAAGCACATGTTGGGGAGAGTGTGGCACAAAGGGGCTCTGCTGCTTGCGGGGTGTGTAGTGGGAGAGGACAGGGCCAGCACATCTGGGCAGATGTGCAGGTGGGACTGGGAAAAGAGGAGATATGTGGTGGATGAGTGCATACTGACACATGCTACACATCCCTTATTTACACAAGCTCAGCAACATACACAAAGGGAGAAGATGGGCGCTCCAGCCTCTGTGAGGATGGATTAGAGTGCTTCCCTATGCAACTCACATTCCTCCTCTAGCCACCTTTTCCCCTTTTCATCCCTGAAGTTCATACACGTACACTGACACTTGCATACCTATACTGGGTGGGCTGGAGCTCCTTTTCTGTAGTTACTTTTCCTACGGAAGACACAGTACTCCTCAATGTCCGGAAGGTGGCAAGCTTTCAATGCACATTGCTCTTGTGCTTCCACTCATAGCATCAGCCAGGTTGGAAAAGACCTTTAAGATCACCAAGTCCAACCTTTACCCCACGAATGCCATTAGTTTCCCCAAAGCAAAGAATCTGAGGAAAGTTGGGACTACAGAGCTCTGTTTGTGCATGGGGTGAAAGCCTGTGTTCAAGTGAGACAGAAGGAGAATCGCCTGTGACTGATGAGCAGCATGGATGGCAGGGAAGCCGTGTTTGCTGCAAGCAGGCACAGATAACAGGGCATTTCGTTTGCCACCCTCTAGAGCAAGGCACTGGGAGACAGCAGTGAGACAGGCTGCAGCATGTTCCCGTGCTTTTGGAATAACTGATTTTGCCGCAGCATCCTGCAATAAGAGGCAGGTCAAATCCATCCCCAGCAAAACAAAACCAAAATAGTTTAGAGACAATCCTGTTCTCCCTCTGCATGTTGACATACACACTTTTAATTCCCCCCATCCCATCCTGTTCAGTGGAAACAGTGTTTAACCACACAGACGTGTCCTTGCAGGCTGACAGCAGGAATTATGTGTTTCTGAGAACTAAAGCAAGCACCTACATATTGTGCATCTACAGATGGGTGGTGAAGTGAAGGACGCCACTTCGTTCTACAGACCTGCTCTAGTCACTGTCCAAACCACACAGGGAGCAGCCATAGCAGTGACCTGCCTGTTCCTTCAAAGAGTACAGCTTCCCCTCCTGCTTTGTGCTTATTTAGGCTGTATCCTCAGTGGTTCAGGCACTGTCCATCCAATGTGCTTGTTTGTCACGGGGCCTGTGACATTCCAGTTCTGTTCCAAGGCTCTGAATGTCAGTGGCAGGCAAGAGGGACCCAGGATGGCAGCAGAGCTTCATGGCAGGCAGGCATCTCTGCAGAGCCATGCTCATGGGTGAATTCCTTCCCTGCAATCACAGCATGTGCTGCTCGGAATGAACCTTCAGAGTGGTTTTTCAAGCTTTCCTGACACCGCAACACCCAATGGAAATCCAAAGAACTCATTCCTTCCACACAAGTTTAAATTCTGAATATGCAAAGCCAAAAAAAAAAACCCTCCAGGTAAGCAAAAAACCCTCCAGCTCCCCATGTGAGAGTAACATGGGTAATAATTATTACTTGGGTCGGGTGCTAACTATTCATTTAGGATCTGATGAAAACTTGGCACTTGCTCTGTTGCTCTTTCCTAGTGAAAACAAGGCTCAAGGTAGACAGTTAACTACCAGACAAGCATGAGAGCACCTCTCCTGTGCTGGCACTGCAGCAGGGTGAACTTCCCCTTAGCTCCCGCAGTGAGGACGTGTGCTGGTGTGCCAGGGTTTTGTGGATTCAACCACTATTTTAGGCCACCGATAAGAAACACAGGGAGTGCAGCTCAGGGTGCCTCAAACATGCCTTTAAGAAAAGCACCGTGCCAAGAATCGCTTTTACACATCCCTGCTTCCAGCATCATCCACAATGAGGAACACAATTCTCTTTCCCTCTTCCTTCTGCCTCTAACCCACTGCTGGTGACACCACCAAACGCAGGAATGGAGCTGGAGACACTCAAAAGGATTATTACAGCCTTTATGTGCACTTGGGGGTGCATAACTGAACATAATACCTGGTTAATAAAACCTCCATCCCAGTCTGTTCTTCCCTTTCGGAGCCTCTCCTACAGCCACAGAACTGATTTTCCTTAGATCTTCATCCTTTCCCCCAAAAGTCTTCCTCTTGCCCTTTGAAATCTCTCCCAGCTGGAAAATGTATTTAAATACACTATCTGACAAGAGAAACAGGGCAGTCCAAAAGGAATAGCTGCTAACAGGTAGGGAATTACCCTTCACATTGATAAAAATCAACCCCAGGAAACCAATATGGGATGCCTTTGCAGGATGACTTACACCAGAGCTGCTTCCAGCAATCCCAGCCTGAGAGCACTGTCACTCATGGCAGCATTAAAGTGGCTCCTGTTAATTGTGTCAAACCAAAGCAGTCGTAGCCACCAGCTTCTTCGATTCAAGGCTCTCCTTTGTGGAGTAATCTCTCCTGGTTTTGAGGACTGGTGTCAGCTCTGGAGTATAAAGGGTGTCACTGCAGGTTATCTCTGTGAATTCACACAGTCCTCAGCTTGGCTCGGCAACACTTCCCTGCAGTTCTGAACCCAGGCCAGACCCTTCCAGTTTCAACTTCCAAATGTTTGCCTTAACACCAGTATATTGAGGAAGGACCTCAAATGTAGAGTTTTGGAGAGACTTGAAAATTCTACTTTCCTTGATGGATAAAACCAATTTCTGGAGTTATTCCATGTTGACTTCTTCCCCTCTTCAGGTAAATGTCCTCTGGACTGCAGTAAAAGTAGTCAGAGACAGGGCATGGATCCCGGATAAGCCAGGATGGTTTTAGCCATCCACTCTGAATTGACAAAAATCTTCGGTTCAGTCTCTTAAGCCACACAAAGAGGAGCAGCTTCCAGCAGGCCAGTGGAATGGGCTTCTGCTTTTACAGAACACTATTTCAACCACAGGCTTGCATTTGAAGAAAGGTAGAGCCAGCTCCCAGTGTGGCTGGGGATGGAGGGCTCTGCCTGTCATCATCCCATGCAAAAGAAGTAAAACCAACAGCAGAAGGTAATAGTCCTTCAAATCCTCTTCCAATGCCACAGTGAGTCCAGGCCCAAACAAACTTGTCTCTCTGAGCTTATCAGAAATGCTGCCAACAGCAAGGTTTAGTTACAGAGGGAGTGAAGATTTTCAAAGAGCTTATTTGTCACTTTGGCTTCTCAGGAGCTTCAAAGTCAGATGTCAGATGTCAGATGAACCCAGACAGTGCCCATGAGATGTTACAAATGGGAGCTGCTGGGATCTGGCTGCTTGGCCTAGGCTTGAACCTCTGTTGAAAACCTTCTCTTCCATGTTAGTCAGTAGAGAATTAAACGCATCAGCTGTCCTTTTGCCTCTAGGTTGTAGGTAAGGTTTGGCAGCAGGGCTGGGAGTCATCAAACAACTGCCACAGGGTGCTGAATGTGCCTTTTCCCTGCAAACAACAGTGGGTTTAGGATGGATCCGAAGGAGCGGGGCTGGTCTTGCTTAAGAGCGCCTGCCCTTCCGTCTGTCAGTAGGTCTGGCTCTCTGCCTGAAGGAAGTGAATTTGGAGCTTGTTCTTAATAGGCATGCAACCGATCCAAGTACCAGCATCAATTCCTGACAGCCTCATCAGGGATATCAGCGAATGTGATTGCCTTCAGAATGAACTGACCTCACTGAGAGAGCAGTCTGAGGGAAGCCAGCACTGCCTATTTATAGAGAATGAGAAACTTGGATAGGGAGGGAACTTTGAATGTGTGGCTTAAACGTAGCAGCTGAGAGGTTACCCAGCGTCTGGGAAAGCCCGGGTGCATATGCTTTCTCTGCCTCAGCAATTATCCAAGCATAATGGCACTGGCTGACTTTGCAGGCTTCCTGCAGATCTCCCAGCTCAGACAGGGCAGTAGATCAGACCAGCCTGTGAGTATCTGGACATCATAGAGGAATGCCTATGGTGCCTACTCAGATGAACCACGGTGTTTGTGCAAGGGGAGGTCACTGCTCTGTGCTCACTGCACTCGCTCTGGGTCTGCTATTCAGATCAGTTTGGCTGCACATCCCAACAGGAATTAATTGGTGCCCTCACTGCCTCATTCCTCATGGAGACCCAGGGTGCAGGCAGCTGGCTCCCATCCTCTAGCCAAGTGACAAGTGGAAACTTCCCTGTTCAACGAGCAAGAGGATTCAGTTAAAATACCAAGGACACCTTACCACAAGCAGGGATTACTGTCAGCTTCTCTTCCTGCACGTTGCTGGGCCGAGATACACAGCATTATGGAACTGAGAAGTCAAATCCTGACAACACCTGCCACTGCTTGGAGTGAAAGAAAGGCCCTGTGTCTCCGGAGGCACGTGAATTCCTGACAGCTGTCACACAGAAACATGGAGTTCTCTTCCAAACGGGATCTCATCCACTTCGACTCATGTACATCTATTTTCCAGTCTAAAAATTGTATCCAGTAACTGAAATTACTGAAGTGCATTGGAAGTACAGACTGAAACCAATGGCTTCATGGTAAAGCAGCATTTAATTCCTGCATGAAATATTAGAGGATGCCAGTTTTGTAATTTCCTCCTTGCTTGATCATGATAACACAGTCCCCCAGGCACTGCAGAGCCAGGCAGGAGATGGAAATGGGAGAGGTGCCAGTAATACAAAACACAGTGAAGGAAACAGTGTTCGAGAGTGACTGTTGTGTGATAGGGAATGTTTCGTCTTTTTCTCCATCAAGTTTTTGGAGTGGGGAGAGATAATAATAGATATTTT